GTGTGTGTGCATTCATGCATGGTGTCTGTGTCTATGTGTATGTTAAGTATGTCTTTGTGTGTGTGTCTGTGTTTGTATGTCCATTTGTTCGGACTTTATCGCCCAGTTTTAACTCACTGGTGAAGCTAGGAAGCTGAAATTTTACTAGGATATTCCCACTCAGAGTGCAACCTCATGACTTTTTTTTGCCTCAGTGTGTAGAAACTATCTCACGGACGTTTCTCATTATGGAATATGCTGGTGGCGGCGAGCTGTACACCTATGTTCATTCGAAAGGAAAACTCACGGAAGAAGACTGCAAACCGCTCTTCGCGCAGGTCGTCTCAGCCGTTGCACATATGGTTAGTGTTATAAATGAATAAATCACAGCCTAATAAAAACTAAAACCTTCTTTCCCACTCAGCGCCTGTGGAAGAAGGGGGCATTCGGCAAGTTTCGAGGATAGCAAGTACTTACAGCAATTACCCGCTGGCAGTGTTGTCGTTGGCTCCTTTTGCGGGGACTGCTTAGAAGTAAAATGGTTTGGGTCCAAGCACTTAGCACATGTGCAAGCCACTGTGTGACAAACCCTTAAGAACAATAAAAATACAACTGGGGCGAATGTGTTTGAAAAACTGCACTACATAATTGCTTCTAATAAGCAGAACTCCCTGATGATGGATTAAATATTTGTCCATTTTAAACAGGAAAATTGATTACGCGGAGCTAAAGTCGAGAAGAAAAAATATTTATGACCAGATTAATTCAATACCAAAGAATGACTTGTACATCGAGTTAATGCACTTATCATCTGTTGCTTTATCATCGCTGCTGACACATTTGTCAGCTTCTTCATTCTTCTCTATTTTGAGCTTCTCTCAACCACATACTTCCATGAAGCAGTTGGAACGCAGCAACACTTCTACTGCAGTGTTAGTGCGTCAGTAACAATCAATAATCTGCTTAACACATCTTCCACTTTTCATTGTTGGCACATTATCAGCGAAATTCTTGCTTCATTGGAAATGTGCTGCAACTTGCTGACTTTAAAAAAGACTTGCAGACTGGCACGTTATAAAGCAATGAATTTACTATGCGTAGCGGAAACAATCAATTTTTTTTCTCCCTTATGTAATGTTCGACAAGTTTTGTATTTTCAGTGATTTCTTTGCATCTTAAAAAAGCAAGTGCTTTTTAGCATTCGAAGAATATTGTTCATCGTGATATCAAATCAGAAAATGTGATATTTTCAAAACCCGGATGGATTAAATTAGCCGATTTTGGCTTTTCGTGCCAAGTGTACCCGAATGATAAACTGTCGACATTTTGTGGCTCACCACCCTATGCCGCTCCGGAACTTTTCAAAGGCGAGGAGTACGCCGGTTAGTTTTTTTTGCTAGTATGCTGAATCTAAGAATTTATTTAGGCAAATTCCAGCATTCCTTCTCCCTTTTTTTGTGAAAAGAAGCCAAATATCCTGAAAATCTTTAAAAACTTTCTGGTGGAAGAAAATTTCGGCAAGCTTATGGGTAGTCGAATCTCATATTTTAAAAAATTTTTAAGATTTATTGGCTTCAATGAACAAATAAGCTTAGGCGTCAGGCAGAAAGTGCAATAAGCATTAAAATAGCGCGAACAAAACCCCGATGTGCATTTTTAGTATATGTTCCGGGAAAACCCAGCATTGAATTCAGAAGGAAATAGACCTTGGCAGTTTTGGTTTTTTCGGGCATAGCTGTACCGGGTGTCCTGAACGGACCGAAAATTGCAATGAATCGGGATGGAATTGAACCGCACCTTACCGCAACGAAATGCGACTTACTACCCACCGCACTACCGGCTTTTGAGCTGGAGAATCAGTCTGGCCGCATATTAACTGTACATCTGTTTTTCGATTCAGGATAGACCTTTCTTTTCTTGACTATCTTCCATAAACAGTGTACATCTTTGACTCTGCGGCGGTTTCTTTGCCGGCTTTTTACGGGTTTTCCACGGCATCAGGCTATTCGATCTCGAAGTGGGTAGCTTCAGCCAAGACCCACCGTTTTATTAGTGCTTTCTTGACTTTTCTCCCAAGGAAAAAAAAACTTCTATTGTCCGATAATAGATCTGAGTTCAAAACGACCATCGGTTAGTTTCAAAGCCCAAAAATTTTATTGCACATGAAATGACTTTGTTTTATTGTTTGTTATCATCTGTTCTGGATATCAGCGATCCTGTGAGAGCGCAACATTTGCAGGTTTGAATGTTGACGTATGGGCACTTGGTGTGTTGCTCTATTTTATGCTTGTCGGTACAACGCCGTTTCGCGGGGAAACAATCAACGACTTAAAGCAGTGTGTTTTACGCGGTATTTACGTAGTACCCGATTATATTTCAACGTTTGCGCATCACGCCATCGGGCGCATGCTTGTTGTTGACCCAAAAAAGCGAGGCACTATTGAGGACGTGAAAGTATGTATCATCCAGTTTTTCCGTCTTTTTTATTTTTTATTTTTCATATTTTTCACGATAATCTTGGTGAAGCTTAACGGAACTGTGCTGTTTAGTCTCAATTACGAGGCCTCACGTGGCTTTATATCAGCGGTGCCGTGAGCTTCAGAAATCTCTCCTTCTCCAGTCGTCTACATGAGAGTTCGTTCCCTCACTTTCTTCCTTGACATTGAAAATCCAGATGACTCTCTTGGCAGAACTGAGATCGCTTTTTAAAGGATGTCTTCTTCAAGACCGCCTTCCTTGCTGGATTTTAAACCCTCATTTGTTGATTTTTCTGAAATTGCTGTTAATTGCGAAGTGATATTCTACAGACAGAAGGAACATATTTTTGCGTTCTGAACCCTGTTTGACGGGGTGGGAATTTAATTTCTCATTTTTACTATCTTCAGATCCTTCGAAATACAACTTGCTAACTGCTGCACTTTTATCCTTCATGCGCTACAACTTGCACGGAAAGCTTGCGAACCCATACATGTGATACTGACATTCATACACTTTGTAGTAATTAGTTGCTATTACGGGCAGCGCGAACTTTTCCCTATTTTTGCTGGCTTTTTTATGAACAATCACGAGAAGTTATGCTCATTTCTAGTAAGGCGAGCAACTTGTGGATTAATTTTTTTAATAACTCACTAAGGTGTAAAGTATATTTCATCTTGCGGAACATTTAATTGTCTTTGGTCGGGGCTCAGTACTCCGAATAGAAGTTGCTTTAAAACATTTGTCATCTTGTATTTTACAGTGACCATGCTCGAATTCTCCCTTAAAATTTTACTGCAACTTGACGTACGGCTTCATACCGAAAAGCAGGCTCATTTTTCACTGGCAAAATGAAAAGAATAATGGCCTGAGATACCTGTTTTGTATCCACGTATAGCTGGTTTCTAATACGGCAAAAATATGGGGACGCCTTTTTATGTCGAAAAGTAAATAAAGTGGAGTAACTTCTTTTGGTTAGTTAAGTAGTATCATACAGCTTACACAATGAAGAATGACACTGTTTTGTTTGTACTCAATTGATGCTTGGAATTTCATGGGATAAAAAGGGTAAATTACAAAATTCGTAATTTTTCAGAAAGTCTACTTCCTCAGGGAAAGCAAGTTCACAAAACCGTACGCACAGTGCAGTACAGTACCAGATGAAAACGAGCTGCAGGAGAATCCGATTGCTCGGAGAGTCTGGGATAAGCTACATTTGTACGGGATAGACGAGAAAGCAATTAAGGATGCGGCACCAAAGGGAGCGCGTAATGCAATTATTGGTACTTATCGCATCGTGCTGCACCAGTCGCAACAGGAATACGATGAGCGCGAGAGAAACAGGGTTCGTTTATTCAAATTTCCTGCAAACACCTTTGCATTAAATAGTTTGCCCTTTGGATTCTGTATATCCGTTACATACTTCTTTTGTTCCTATAGCAGTTTTCATTCCTTTTCCTTTTACATTTTTTATAATTGTCGTTTATGTTCTAATATTTAGGAAATTATCCCTAACACTACTTTAAACACATTTATTTTACTTTACCCCTTATGAATATTTCAGTACCACGATCGCCATAATAACAGGGTCCAGCTGAAGTGCTGAGCAGGAATGTATACGACTTAACTGACTGAATAATTCCTCTTTATCTAATTATTTCTGATGCACTTTTATATTTAGTACATGTCGCCACTAATATATTTATATAACAATATCCTTAAAGAAATTTATATGAATTACTAACAGCATCATCATCTAACTTTTAGCACATTTATTAGGGACAGAGTTGGCAGCATTCAAAACGAGGTTACGTCTCGAATCAGCTAAAGCCTTGCCCAATGCTTCTGCCGAAAAAATCGTTGGGTTCGTAATTTTTTTCAAGCAGCGAAGCAAAACTTAGAATCGCTAGCATGCTGACTGATCATCAGATGTTTCAGCAATGAGCAGGGCAGTTCAAAAATTTATCAGCTACATAGCTGGCAAAGCAGCAGTGTAATACAGTTGATCGTACTGTGCGTAATATGAATCCAGTTGGGGCCTACGCCATACTCACGGAAGTCCCGGTACCAGGACAAGCCTGCTGCAGAGTAAGCTTGTTTCGGGATTCTTTCGTTTTGGAATTAATTGGGACAACTGTTTCAGATCCAGGATCATCAGATGATGATGAAAGCTCGGAGATCACCGCCAAAGATCGTAAACCGGAGTAAAACATGTTCATGCTTATAGTAGCTCTGAAACCCGAGCTGCGTTAGTGCTTTGTAAATACTTTGCATCTACAATATCTCATGTGCTTGCGTTGTTATGAATTTCGGGTGAGGTTTTTCAGTTTATTTGGGTCACTGATCAATTCGACTGTTCAAAAATTAATTTATTTCTTGAGGCTACTCATGAAATCCGGGCAAATTTATTTGCTTGCACTATTGTAAAAACTTCTTGCGCTACTGTATCTACAGTAATTTTTGTGCTACTGTACCTGTACTTTCATGCTTGTACCAGTAATAGCAATTTAGCTCATAATTATTGACAAAAATCTCAGCCTTAACCATCTCATGTCGAACTGATGTCTCTAAGATACTTTTTACTTTAACACTTTGATCGCTTTTTGACTGGCCTGTTCCTCTTATTGTTCATAGCTTACTTTTCCATCTGGAAACTTTTTTCAGCTATTTTGACCATGCTACATCGCCTGATGGCCGGCTTGCTGACAATCGTGGCATTCATTTCCTTCCCTGGTGGGACTTCAGCTCAGCTGTTTTCCTCACAGAAACACTTTTCCAACTTGTTTTCACCATTTTCACTAGTGCAAAAACTTTTGTATCACTGTATCTACAGTATCATTCTGAAAGTTCCGAATAGGAAGCTGTCTTCCCACTCCTACTCGCGACAGGTGCTCTTTCTGTGTTTACAGATAAAGGGATGAAACAGAAACTG